GTCCCATCGGGGGCTGCCACCACAGTGACGGTGCTGCAGGGGGAGATCTTCCAGGGCGCGCCCGTGCAGACGGTGTGTCCCCACTGCCAGCAAGCCATCACCACCAAGATCACCTATGAGATCGGGCTCATGAGCTTCCTTCTTGGCTTCTTCTGCTGCTTCGTGGGGTAGGTGCTGCGAGCAGAGCTGGGGCCTCCCTGCCACCAGCAGCCCTGCGGTGACGGTGATCGAGCTGCCCTGGTCCTGGTGGCCCCAATGCTGGGGGCCTTGGCCAAGCTGTTGGGCAGGGTGAGGGCCTTGGCACTGAGGTGTTACTGGGCCAGCAGCTGGGTTCCTGGTGGTGACAGTGCCTGGAGACCCGGGCTCCTGCCAGGGGAGGGGAAGGTGCCACCACCGAAGGCCTGTGGTGGAGCTTGACATCAGAGGGCCTTGCTGCAGGCGCTGTCCATCCCTGGGCCCAGACCGTGTGGTGCTGCCGAGAGCCATGGTCTCCCCTCGTGGCCAAGGGCTGGCAGCAACGGGGATCACGGGAGGGGATGGGGTGCTTCGTGCTGCCCTTTGCAGTGGCGGGAGGGGCCAGGTTGGCTCCTGGGACAAACGCTCCCCTCCCTTGCCCCATGCCCAGAGTGAACCCCACGCATGCCACCCCCCCGCCCCCTGCCAGCGCTCCCTGCCCCGAGCCGCAGGCCGTGCTCACGGGCTGCCTCTTCCCGTGCTCCAGGTGTGATCTCTGCTGCTGCCTGATCCCCTGCCTGTTCGATGACTTCAAGGATGTGACACACACGTGTCCCAACTGCAAGGCCTACATCTACACGTACAAGCGCATGTGCTAACAGCACCCCGGGAGCCCGAGCCACTGGAATGACACCGGCCCCTCTCCCGCTGCCGTCCTAGTCTACGCGTGTGCAACGCTCCTTCGCTTAACCCTCCGGTGGTGTGTACGTGTGTATCCCCGGCTCCCTCCCGCTCAGAGCTGCCACCACCTTCCCCAAGCTCCGGTCCTCGCTGTGAACGGTTGGATTGGCAATGCTGGTGCGGGGTACAGGGGAGATGGGCCCAGGCACCGGCTGCTGCACATGGGGCTGCCCTGCAGCACACAGGGGGGGTGGTGGGAGGAGGGGGCAGCCCTTCGCACCCCCTTCCACTCCAGGGCCCCGTGGGGGCTTGGTGCCGAGGAGCCGGCGAGGGGAGTGCCA